TTTTAACCCCGGGGGTCCGGGACGCGAACTGCGGTCGACTGCGTGGGAGTCCAGCGACATAGCCATTACGCTAACTGCTGGTTTCCTGAAACATAATCTTTTTATAAAAAAAATTTGTTGAATTCCATTTGTTATTATCATTTTTAATTTGACCAGAGAGAGACTGAGAGAGAGAAAGAGAAAGCAAGAAAGTAAGCGGCCAGGTCCAAGGACTCGAACTGTGGTTAGCTATATGGGTATCCAGTACCTTTAACCAGCACACCATCTGCTGGCTCAAAACATAACTTTTAAGAAAGTTAAATTGCTAAGAAATTATAAACCTAGATTCAAAACACATTTGACTATTGAGACCTAAAACTAATGTCAAGTCAGAATACCTGCAGCGTCAGAAGGCTGGCTGAAGAAGCTGGGTAATCTTCAGAGTACACACTCCTCAGAACCTACTTCAGAGAGGGTCATGGTAGATAACAGGAAAGGGAAACCCCCCCAAAATGAAGAGTCAAGGAGGCCTACAGAGAACAATGACAAAGGAGCTCTTCCCCCGAATCAGAATCAGAGTGTAATAAAAAAACATAGTCCGAGGCCTTAATGATGCTCTCTCAGTGGGACTTCAGAATTACTATTGAGAAATGGTTGTATGTATTTTATTCCTTTCCAAAAAAAAGGGTTTTGGGGTCAGCAGGTGGCATAGTAGTTACATCGTTGGACTCCCACATAGCTGACCTCGGTTTGAGTCCTGGAGCTGGTGGCTTGAAAATCACACCAGGCATGTGTGTGTGCATGCCCAAGATCCTGGAGGAGGATGATTTCTCACTTTCCCTCTCACTGTCTCTGTCTCTCTCTCTCTCTCCAGTGAGTGTACGTGCTCTAAGGCAAAAATCTCTGTTAAAAAAAAGGGGGGTTTAATTTACTCCAAATCGTCAAATCTCTTTTGGGATCCTCCGTGCTGCATAGGGTCCTGTGGAGGGTTTTGTGGACTCAGAGAAGGCAGGGATACAAGAAAGAAAGATCCTGGGTCCCTGAATAGCCACATGGAGTAGAACCTCTGACGTGCATTGGAGTATCACATGAGCAAGAAATAAGCCTTGATTGTGTTAAATAATCCAGTAAACAGATTGGTTGAGGCTTTGGGATCACCTGCTATCACAATTACCCTACCTTGACCAATGTGGTCATCAAAAGTGCATGCAATGCAACAGTAGGCTGTATGCGCTGGCTTTATCTACTACCCTGTAATTTTCTTCAACCAAGTAATTATAGAGGACTTCTCCAGCTAAGAGCTTACTTAAAACTGAGACTGAATTTTCTTGTATGTCCTTTCTTTCTCTAGTTCCCTTAACTTAGTCACCAAGCATCGCTCAGTGTCTAAACTTACTGCTTACTAGCTATGGAAAATTAGAAACAAATCAATCTGTTTGCACTTCAGTTCTCTTGTATGTATAATGGTATATAATAATACTACTTACCTTAGGTTTTTGTGAGAATAAAGGGAATTAATCTGTGTACTGTGTTTAGCATGGCAGCTGGATATAGTAAGTGCTAAATAATTATAATATCATCTTCATTATCTTCATCCTTGTTAGCATCATCATTATTTTCATCATCATTATTATAGTAGTTGCTAGGTAGATGTTTGGCGTAGAAACAGCATCAACTATAATATGCAAGATCTGGTCTTCCTGTGAGATGTTTGCTTATTTCAAGGCACTGATTTATTTATTTCTTAAAATTTTGTACTTGTTTAGTGCACTCTCTATTAAATACTTAATTTTAAGAGAAAGGTTTTGCCTATCTCCAACCTACTTCAGAAAATGGTTATAGTTGGGGATGTTCTCTTTCTGTCTGAGTTTTATGTGTCAGTATCTGTGTTCCTTTAGAGGCTTTCCTCTGAGAGTGCAGTATTTGTACTCTGTGCAAACTGGAGTAGAAGGAATGGAGGAAGGTTAACACCCCTAATGATGGAAGAAACCATGTCTTGCCTAGATTCACTTCCTGCTTAGGTTGACTTCCAGCTTGGAGTCACTTCCTACTTAGAGTGCTGGGATAAAAATGGCTGTGAGTGTACTCATAAAAGTACCCTTTTCTCTTTTTCTCTGTCTCTGTTCCCTAGTTACATTGCCAACCATCTAATTTCGGATAGTGTGTGGACCACACTTACAAGAGCCAAGGCTTAGAATCCCTTCTCTTCTTTATTAGCCTTTAAGAACAGAGACTGCACCTACATCAGAGATGGCCTTATCCATCTCTTACACCATGTGTTTAGACCCCTGCTTTCCTTGTATGCTCGAGTTAGTGTGCTTTCGCTCACACTGCTAGCATGAGCCCTCTCCCTAGGCCACTCTCCAGAGAGATGCTACCTAGATAGGCACACCTACTTGTGTTGGCATGTTTTACGCATGACCCAAGCTGCAAATAAGAACATGTGTAAGATATATGCTTTCTTCTTTGTGTAATTTCAGGCACCAGAATATGCCTACACATAGGGGCATGTGCATACAGACACACTCGTATTCTTTTTTGTTTCTGGTAGAAATATGCTTCTGTGATGTTCCTTCTACTCCCACACATGCCCCTCCATGGCTGGCACATCTCTTAATTATTTCTATCTACTCCCTCCCCATAGACCTTTTGTGTGTATATTTTGGCACATAGTCTTTTGGTTCCACCCAGTTCCTCGCTCTCTTTTTCTGCCTCCCTCCCCTTCCCTCCTCTTCACAACTTCTTAGAAAATTTGTTAAACTATACATTCTTTATTGTTAATGTGCATTTATGAAAAATTCTTCACAGTTACAAAAGTGCATGGTTATAAAATCATCTCCATAAAATGTTGTCCTCTTCCCTTGAACCCCAACCCTCCCTAGCCCTCCCGCTCCCAGACCTCAACCCTCTGCCAGACGGCACTTGGAAAAACTGGGAGCTCTGGGGATCCATGTTCTCCACCCAGAGCTGTGGCAAGCATGACAATGATTTACAAAGGACTGTGTGACTTGATTTCCCTTTTGCCTTCTTCTGGGGTAGGGAAGAGCAGACACGTTTCTCTAGCTTCAGGAAAATATTTTGAGGAATGGGTGAAAAGTGTCTCATTATACTCTCCTACCAGTGGAAAGGAATTAGCAAAGACATCTCTGGGGAAAATGGAGGTTGTAGGTTAAGTTTTCTAGATGTTTATAGAGAAATAACTGTCACAGTCTGTTCAAATTCTATACATCTAGTTCCTTGAAAGGTTCAATAAACCTCTATAGCAACTCTAGTAACCTATTTTTGCAAGGTTTCCTAGGAATTCCTGTAGGAATAGAGAAGCAGAGATAAGGATTTGTCTGAAGGTAACCAGAGGCAACTAGTCTAGAGTGTTGCAGTGCAAATGTGGTGGCTCTTCTACAGAACAATTTTCTTGGCCCAGGCCTTAACTGTCATAGTTTTGTTGGTTAGCTAAACTTTGATATCCTCTGGCCAAGAATGAAGGATGCTTTTGCAATGAGAACAAGTCTTTGAGGGGTAGGAAAGAACAGATGGGAGCAGGAAGAAGTCAGGTTCTTATAAAGATGTCTCCACCACAAATTTTCTCCTTTTCTGTTTTTGCAGCAGCCAATCCCACTTCAATCTTGGGGAAATACCATCTTAGTATATCAAATAATGCAACAGTCAGATGATCGAGTGGACTGTGTCAGAGGGCTGGACTCAAATTCCAGAAAGATCAGCCCTATGTCAACAGATAACCAGTATAAATGGAACCTCATACACAGACATAGAGATGCAGAGATATTCCATCAAATACATGTTAGCCAGCCTGGAACAGTTTGAATAAAACCTGTGGTAACACCATAATGGTTTTGTGGTCACCAGGGATGGGGAGCAATTCAAGACAAAATTGCTAGATTACCTCTAGAAGCTTGCTTCTGAAAGCCTAAACAAGATGGTGGTGGTGGTGCCGGGACAAGCAGGGAATTCCTTGTCAGGAAGGCGGTTGAATTGTTTCCTCATAGTGTTTTGGTTAACGGGGGATCTTTTAGCAGCTGGAGAAACATTTGTGTTGTGCTCAGAAAGGTTTGCTATTCATGGCGACCAAATTGTCCCACTAGAAATAATGTTTGATCTCAAGGGACATTTGATGTCTTGCCTGGTTTTAATTCTATGCAAAAAAGTACGTATCTTAAAAACATATTAACTGTATTTCAGCAAAGAATAGTCTCTAGGAGATTATCATAGATGCATGTGGTGTTCCTCTATGGGAAGCTTAACTATTTTGTCAGGACTATTATTTCTGAAAGTTTCTCCCAACACTTTAGGCTGTCAGCTTGACTGGTCGAGAGCATCTCAAGTCCACCATCGTCAGAGCAGAAGAGAGCAGGGCACAGTTCGGCTTCAGCTGTCACAGGAGCAGGGCTCTGGTCCAGGTTCTATAAGCAAGATTCAGGGGGCACAAAGTTCAAGCACTCCAGATCTAGCAATGTTTCGGGGGACTCTTTTGGTTGACTAGCTCAAGGAAGCATGGATGAGGGATGATTTCTTGAAAGATGACACATTATCCTCCTTCATTTCTTTCAGGCCTGCCAGGAGGATGGGGTGATGGAGGCTGCTGGAGCTAGGAAGCAAGGTAGAAAGCCCCTGTTTTGATTTTGCTACTGGGCACCTCTGCCAACATGTCAGACTGTATACTTTTAGGTTTCCCCTACAGTCAGCAGACGTTCTCACCGACAGTGCTCGTTACTCCCTTGGTATCACAACATAACATGGCGGAGCTTAAGGAGAGGTGGTTAACACGGCTTCCTCTCCTGCTTCCAAGGCTGCATTCCTGATGCTTTATAACACATCGGGAAGCAGGCATCTCCTATTCAGATGTTACCTGTGCTGCCTGTGCGTTTCAATTTGCCCTACTGTGAGCATATCTAAGTCTGGATAGCAACCAGATTTTACTGCTCTTTACTTAGCTGGTCCACTGGCATGTTCATGCCTGCTGACTCCTGGGACCCCATTACCCAACCTTCCATGGTATTCTCTTCCTCAAACACCTAAGAATATACTAGAAAGAGAACCGTGTTGATGTTTAGGACCAAACTTGCCACATAGGCAAGTCCTACCTAATCTCAAGCCTCTAGCTTCCCATCTGTAAAATAGGATTACTGATGTTTGGTTTGACTCCTGCATGTGGAGAAGTCTAGGAGAAGAATGCAAAAGCCCTTCATGAACTATTGAGTGCTGAGCAAATGTAGGGGAGATACTGATGAAGCTGATCAAACTGATGATGAAGATGAAGGTGACAACAACAATGATGTTAATGGTGCTTTGCACATCAGGTTACTTGGGTCTTCACTGGCTGATTAGATACAATTTCCCTGAATTAAGCTTCCGTTGTCTTCCTTCTAGGGTTTGTCCAGATAACCTCAGGTACATTACTTAGCTCTCTACAATTCTTATATCTATATAATGGGAATAATAAAAACCATTAGGCAGTGTCACTGAGAATCGAAATAAACGAGTCAATAGATATAAAAGTGCCCAGAGGAGTGCCTGCCCCTTATGAGGAACTCCATTAGTGCTGCGTAAGTTTGAATTTATATAACATTAGAGGGAATTACAATATTTCCCAACTTCAGGGGGAAGTAGAAAGAGCTTATTAAGAAGTGCATGACTCAAACTTCTCTCAGCCTCAATTTCCTCATCCATAAAATGAACATAAGAATGTTCACCTCAAAAGACCATGTGTGCTAAAGAGAATTGTCTGTGCAGAGAGTTAATCACAGTGCCTGATACTGGCAAGTGCCCAGTAATTAATAGCTCTCTTGCCCTTACACTTAAATGGGTGAGTGGCTTAGAAGAAAATGCAAGCCCTTCTACAGTCATGATAGTGGTGGCTTTGTCCTCCTTTAGCCCTGGGTATTGTCACGCCATGGGTCTGAGCCCGCATGGTACTTTCCTGGTGAGGTCCCTTGATATAAGCACCCTGACAAGAACAGTCACATGATTGGGATCCCAGGATGCCAGGACTCTTGCTGCCCCAGTTGGTGGGCCCTTTTCCTCTTCTTCTTCTTCTTTTTTTTTGAGAGGTTTTTGCTATAGGGTGCGTGTGCTCGCCAGAAAGACAGAGAGAGACAGAGAGATAGAAAGCAAGAAATAACCCCCCAGGGCAATGGCCATGTCATAATCCCTTCTCCTCTATTCTCTCGGGATCTTGGGCATGCACACACATGCACCCGGCATGAGTTTAAGCCACCAGGTCTGGGACTCGAACTGCTCAACTACGTGGGAGTCCAGCGACATAGCCATTACACCAACTGCTGGTCCCATCTGCCTCCTTCTTCTGAAGCCAAGGCCTGAGTGAGAGTCGGGAGATAGGTATAGAAGGGAGGGCACTGGAAGTATGCACCCTCAGCCTGCTGCTTGGGATCTCAGCAGACTACAATTGATGCTCTAGAATGGGGAGCAGTCACTGGGAGGTGGTCTCACCTGGTAGCTGCTCTTAGAGGAGGATGTCAAGGAGGCTGACATTGGGGGTGTTTGGATTCTCTGGAGGCAGTGGTTGGCAGCACTGAGAGCTGAAAGATTGGACATCAGAGGGAAAGTCTTGGTTCTACTCCAAGGCCCTATATATACTTAAATAACTTGGACTCGTTTACGCTCTCAACATACCATGTGTGTTGTGGCCTCGGTCATTTATGTCTGCTTGACAAAGGAGATGAGCTCATGAGTCACCTCCATTCTTGTAATTCTCTTGGACTTTGCTAGGCACAGTTGATGGCTTCTCCTCTGGGCTTCTATACTATGTGCTCAGAGTATTGACACGTTGTTGGAAAGGGAATAATTTTAAAATTTCAATCTTGTGCTAATGGTAAGTGCCTTGAGGGTGGGAACTGGGTCAATTTATTGTACATTCCCAGTTCCTAGCACAGTGCTTGACCCAAGGTTGATGCCCACACAAAGTCAGGATAGGTCAGGTTAGTGTCCTGGTCTTGCTTGAGTCATGACTGAGGCAGCCAGGCACACAGAACCAGGGCGGGCAGGGAGGGTGTTCAGTGGCCAGTGGCAGTGGTAGTTGGAAGCATGGAGAGGTGAGAGGCACCCATGTCAAATCTCTTCCTCTTCACTGGCCTTGCTCCAACGGTGACAGCAGTTTGCTGTGATGCCCAGGAGGAAGTTGGTGGCCACAGATGCAATGGAGACCACAAAGCCCACGAAGGCAATGAAGAGGTAATCATCCAGAGTCAGGGTCAGGTGGCAGGCCTTGAAACTCTCCTCAGTGAGCGAGAAGAGGGGGGCACCCTCCACTTCAGGGGGACCCCGACATTCAGCCAGTTGAGAATCTGCAACACAGAACCCAGGGAGTGTGAGGCACCCAGGGGAGAGAGAATAGGTTGGAGAGCCCCATCCCTTCTAAGACAAAGGAAGAAAGACATTTACTGAGTTTCTTCTATGTGCCAAACAGTCCATGTATCTTCTTCAGCCCCCTCAATGACCTTCAAGGCAAGTATTTTTACACCTATTTAGCTTCCTTTTAATTTCTTAAAAAATTAATTTATTTTTTAGGTTTTTGCCATAGTGCTCATGAGCTCCCTGGAGAGAGACAGAGAGAGGGAAAGTGAGAAGTCATTCCCCCTAGTTGGGGCGGGGGAGATGGCTACACTGCAATCTCTTCTCCATTCTCCTCATGGGATTTTGGGTACGTGCGCGCACACGCCTGATGTAATTTTCAAGCCATTGGGACTTAAACTGTGGTCGACTATAAGGGAATCCAGTATCTTAACCACCACACTACCTGCTGGCCCCTATTTAATTATTTTTAAAAAGCTTATTTAATCCATAAAGAGAGAGAGAGAGAAAGTATCCCCAAGAGTGTGTTGGTCCCAAAATCCACCCCCAGGCTCAGCCAGACCCAGATCACGGGCATACACACATCTGGTGTGCACACAGAGGTTTCCGGACTTGAACGGGGAAACTTCTCACAAGGGATTGCCTCAAAGAGCATCGTGTTTTACCACTGCCATGCACCACTGTCTGATCTCTTATATCTATTTTCTGGATGTGAAAAATCACTGCTTGGAGAGTTTAATAATTTGCCAAAGGTCCTACAGCTACTACTAATGGCAGATCTGGGGAATGTGGAACATTACCTTCTCTTTTTTTTCAGAGTACACTGTAAATTGTCTCAATCAAGCACATCAACATACATGTTATTGTCAATACCTTCCCAAATGGTTTTTGGGATTCTGCTTGTAAAACAGCTAAACGCAGCTGAGTGATCCTGTCAAATCTGACATCTTCTCATATCACTCTCTGTTTGAAACCCACCCCTGGCTTCCTATCCTCACAGAGCAAAGACCAAGGTCCTCATCCACCATGGGCTACCAGACTTCCTCCTATCTCCTATCTTTTCCACTTGGCTTCTTGTTTACTCTGTTACAGGCACACATGGCTCGTGGTCATTCTTCCATCACTCCAAGCATGTTTCCTTGCAGAGTGGGGAGGAAGAGCCTTTGCATTCATCCCTTGTGAGTGAGTTTTTCTTTGAGATCTCTGTATACCTCAGTTCTTCATTTCCTTTGGAATTGTGCTCAAATAATTCTAAGTAGTGATGCTTCCCTTATGATTTCTTATAAAATAGCAACTCTCACTTCACCTTTTTCTGAGCTCACTATCTCACCCACCTGGCTTAAATTTTCCTCATAGTATTTATTACTGTCTGATAATTAGTTTGCTTATTGTCTCTTCAACCCTTGAATATAAGTTCTTCCCATGATATCCTAAGCATCAAAACTGTCCTGTTCATGCTAAATGCTTAATGAATGTTTGCTAAATGAATACAGGACTCTGTTCAGTTCCAAAGCATTAGATCTTTCTACTACCCCATGTGACTTTTCCAGATACACAGAATATAGGATCAAGAATATGGGCTTTGGAGCTATTGACCTGGGTTCAAATCCCTTCTTTACCATTTACAAGCTGTGTGTGATTGTGGTTAGGATATTGAACCTAACTTAGGATAAACAACCTTCTCTTGTTGGTTTCCCCATCTGTCTAATGAGGGTAATACTCTATCGGCCTCAGAGGGCTGTTGTGAAGACTTAGTGAGTTAGCATACATACATGATATGTTCCTGGTACATAATAAGCACAATGTGAGTGTGAGCTTTCATTATTATTGTACATTGTTCTCTCTTGATAGGTCATTAGGGTCCATCTTCTGCACTTAGGCTTCCCCAGGAGGGAGCTGCTCCTTGGGTGGGGTTACTGTTATCTCCAGCATGGATGGTCCCATCTCATCTTTCCAGGGTTGCTTTTATAAATGCATGATGGTTGTCAGTGGTCTGGCTCTGCTTTGGAAGTAAGAGTGGCATGTGGTGGCAGTTATGCCGTGTGGTGCTGAGCACTGGCTTTAGAGCAGCTAGTCATTTCTTGGTTCAGTGGGATAAATATTAATTAAGCTCTTACCTTGGGCAAATCTTTAAACAATTATTTTCATGGGGTGATTTCTTGCTTTCTGTCTCTCTGGTGTGTGCATGTATCCTATAGCAAAAATCTCTCAACACATTTTTTTTTCTTTCCTTTCTGGCTTTTATGTTCTGACCCTCTAAGAAGGAGATCATCTGACACCAATTTTCTAACAGAATCAATATGAAGAAGTTTTCTAAATTATGGGGGGGTTCAAATACTATATGTTCATCCTGTAGTTTTTGAGGGCAAAAATACAAGCATGAATTTGGATTGACTTTAAAAAAAATTGATTAGCATCATTACCCATAGAAATGGGGAGTCAGGTTTGGAATGGGGATGCAATCTTCTCCAAACTCTAGATCAACTGGTCCCTGTAGGCTCTGTAAACAGGACCCCAGGTCTTGCACATGCCAAGATCACGTCTAGAGTTTTGTTTTATTTCTTCCATGAGTGAGAGAGGTAGAGAGAGAAGAGACAGAGACAGCACCCCAACAGGATTCTGATACCATGACCCACCTCCAGCTCCAGCCAGCCCTACATCATGGGCACACACATGCCTCGTTTACTCAGGGAGGTCTCTGAGAGGGCAGCCCAGAACTTTTCTGTGTGGGTTAGCCTCAGAGAGGGTTATATTTTACTGCTGCACACTGAATAGCCCCTTTGTCATGATTCTCCTCTGAAAACCAGAAGACACTGAACTCCAAAGTCTATAGGATACAGAAAGGGAGTAGGTGATGAGAGGGCTCAATGAGAGTCAGGGAATGTGAAGCAGTTGCATAGGGACCCGCTGGAGGAAACTCTGAAGGCGATCAGCAGGCCTGCTCAGGCAGAATGAAAGCCTGGGGACTGACAAAGCCCTTTGGTAAGTCAAGTGACTGTCTTAAAGTCAGGTTGTAGTCCAAGGACTTCCTTAGGTCCCCCTTTTGCTCAATTTTTTCCAAAAAGCATGGAATTACATGCAAAATATAAAGAGAGGGAATACTGGAGAAAGGACCATAATGGAAGAGAATACCTATCCCTATGTATACTGGCTATATTTTAAAAAAATATTTAATTTTATTTATCATATCATTATTATTTTTTTCTTATTTGACCAGAGAGGGGAAAAAAAGAGAGAGAGAGAGAGAGAGAGAGAGAGAGAGAGAGAGA